TGTGGGGGGTGTGCATAGGTGTGTGTATATATCTGTGTGTGTCTTGTGTGTGTGGAGGGGTGTATAGGTGTGTGTGGTGTGTGGAGGGGTCTGTATGTCTGTATAGCAGTGTGTGTGTGGTATGTGTATCTGTATGTGGGGGTGTGTGCATAGGTGTGTGTATATATCTCTGTGTGTGTCTTGTGTGTGTGGAGGGGTGTATAGGTGTGTGTGGTGTGTGTATATCTGTGTGGTGTGCATATCTGTGTGGAGGAGTGTGTGTATGTGTCATGTGTATATATATTGTGTAGGGGTGTGTGTGTCGTGTGTGGTATGCACATGTCTGGTGAGTATGTATCTGTGGGGGGGGTGGGCACTGGGTTTGGCTCGAGGGGGCAGGAGTGGGGAGTGTGTGTGTGTGTGTGTGTGTGTGTGTGTGTGTGGAGGAGTGTGGGCAGTACCTGCATGGACACAGGGCTTGGCACTGGGGTAGGAAGTGGGGAATTGTCGGCATCTCTGAAACGCAGCCACGGTGCCAGGCTGTCTAAAGCACGCTGGCTCTACCCAGAGTCTGGAAGGGATCTTGATGCCTCCAAGGGCCCCTGATGTGAGGTCGCCCCAGCGTCTGCTTACTATTCCTGACAGCCTGAGCTAGTGAAGCAGCAGACACTGAGGTTTCAGAAGGGACTGTGTGAGTTGTCAGGGAGCGTCTCAGTGTGGCTCATGGGGCTGCAGCTTCTTAGGCGCAGCCCAGGATAGACTGGCTGTTTCCCTCACACACCTGGCGGCACCAGGAGCCCTGGGCTAGATGGAGTGAGAGGCTGCCATGGGCCCTCTAGCAGTGGCTCAGTCTTAGGGCAGTAAAACTAAACTAAACCAAACCCATTGCCATCAAGTCGGTTCCGACTCATGGCAACCCCCATTGGGTTTCCAAGGTGGTATATCTTTACGGAAGTAGATTGCCCCATCTTCCTTCTGCAGAGTGGCTGGTGGGTTTGATCCACCAACCTGGTTAGCAGTAAAGTGCCTTAGGCACTATGCAACCCAAGCTCCTGAGAGCAGTAGCCATGCATAACATGAAGAAAGCCACTCTGACCTTGTGTCCCGGCTCTGCCCTGCATCGGTTTCCGATCTCGAGCAAGGTACTGGCCTTGCCCAGGTGTCCTTGGCAGTCAGATGGTATAAATGCCTGCCCTCAGGGTGGTGGTGGGAATCCACTTCCTCATTCATCACTCTGTGAGCATGCCTGGAGCCCAGCTGGGGGGCTCTGCCCCTTCCGCCCCACCCTGACTGGCTGTTTCCTGACCAGGGGGACATGGAGCAGGCCCTGGAGAACTACGACATCTGCACGGAGATGCTGCAGAGCCCGGCCAGCCTCCAGGCCGCAGCAGGCACTGAGCGGAGAGACCTGGTCATCCGACTGCCTAACCTGCACAACGATGCCCTCGTGTCCCTAGAGGAGGTGTGTGTACAGTGCGCGACAGCGCCTCCTGACACGGGCTCCTGGGCCTCCTGGGCAGCGCTGGGGGGGCCGGCAGCAGGCAGCAGAGGTGGGGCTCTGCAGGGGGAGTGTGGCAGCCAACCTAGTGCACACTCAGGCCCTCGCAGGCCAATGCTGGTCCAGCTTTGGGGCTGGGGGTGGTGCGTGGCACTAGCCAGGCTCTATCTGGGGCCGTCGCCCTGTGCAGCTCAGAGTCCCTGCAGCTCTGTACTGCTGGTGCATGTGTCCGTAGGGGCAGGCAGGCCTTCAGACTCTGCAGCAGAGTGGTCTCAGGCTGGCACCTGAGCTCTGTGAGTTAGGTTGCTGAACTGTGGCTGTGATGCGGCACTACTGTCCTGGCAGATACTTTTCCGGAACCTCTGCTTCTGGAGTAGCGCTGATTCTTAGTGCTTCTGAGTTTGATTTCCAAAGAATCCAATGCCTTGCCTAAACAGAGATACTTTTAAAAGCACATGTGTTGCTGGATTCAGGGAGAGTCTAGGCTCTGTCCTCATTATCTGGGTCTGATAAATGCAGATAGGGCAATTTGGGGGACTGGACGTTTGCCAGCAGCTGCATTCCCAGGCCTTTCTCAGATCGATAAGAACCTGAAGTCTCTGGAGCGGTGCCAATCCCTGGAGGAGATCCAGCGACTGTACGAAGCTGGCGACTACAAGGCCGTTGTGCGCCTGTTGCGCCCCACTCTGTGCACCAGTGGCTTTGACCAGGCCAAGCACCTGGACTTCATGACGTCCATCCCGGAGAGGCCGGCCCAGCTGCTGCTGCTGCAGGTGCGTGCTGCCCTTGGCCCTCCGTGCGTCACTCTCCTTCTTGGTTTGCTTATTGTGGAGTGTCAAGAATACTACCTAGAGGGAGGGAACAAATGGGGTAAAAACCACTAACTCAGCACCTGGGAAGATGTGGGGTTGAGGAGTGTACCTGCTAGGGTTATGTATGGCTCATGGTGAACCTATATGTGACTGAGCCTCTTGGTGGCAGATGAGAAGGGAGGCTAGTCTAGGGACACTGTCCATCTGTCCATCTCTCTACCCATCTGTCTGTCCATTCATCCACCTGTGTCCATTCATTCACCCATCTACCTGTCCATCCATCAACCCACCCATCCATCCATCCACTCACCATCCGTCCACCCAGTTGTCCATCTCTCTGTCCATCCATTCGCCTATCCTCTGTACCAACCCATCTATCTATCCACCCATCTGCTTTTCCATCCACCTATCCATCCATCATCTGTCTGACCATCCATCTATCTGACTATCCATGCATCCGTCTGACCACCTATCCACCCACCCATCCATCTACCTGTTTAATCCCTCACCCATCCATCTGTCCATCCACACGCCCATCCATCCATCCACCCACCGTAAGTCTACCAATCCATCCATCCATCCATCTGTCCATCCACACACTTATCTGTCTATCCAACCGTCCATCCACATCCACACACCCATCCATCCATCCACCCACCTATCTATCCATCATCTCTCCATCTATCCATACACCCACCTATCCATCCATTTGTCCATCTCTCCGTCCACACTCACATCTATCCATCTATCTGTCCATCGACACACTCATCTATCCATCTGTTCATCCACACGCCCATCTATCCATCTGTCTGTCCATCTATCCACACACCCACCTGTCCATCCATCCATTTATCCATCCATCCATCCATCCACACACTCATCTATCTATCCATCTGTCCATCCACATCCACATCCACACATCCGTCCAGCCATCCACACACCTATCTATTCATCATCTCTCCGTCCATCCACACACCCACCTCTCCATCCATCTGTCCATCCACACACCCATCTATCCATCTATCCGTCCATCTATGCACACACCCACCTATCCATCCATCCATGTATCCATCCAGCCAGCCACACACTCATCTGTCCATCCATCCATCCACACACCCATCTGTCCATCCATCCATCCACACACCCATCTGTTCATCCATCCATCCACACACCCATCTATCCATCCATCCATCCGTCCATCCACATAACCATTGATCTTTCCATCCATCCACACACCCATCTGTTCCTCTATGTATCACTTTATCTGTCCATCAACCTGTCCACCTATCTATCCATCCATGCGTTCATCCATCCATCTACCTATCTATCCATTCATCTGTCCATCTACCTACTTGTTCGTTTTTTTTTTTTTTTTTTTTAATTGCTTTTAAAATCAATTGTTGAGTAGATAGGAATATGGTTAAAACATCTTTGCAGGGTAACGAGTGAAGATGACATAAACGTTGTCATTGTTGTTGGGGGCCTCTGAGTCAGCTCCAACTCACAGCAACCCTGTGCCAGCCTCACAATCCTTGCTATACCTGAGCCCATCATTGTAGCCACTGTGTCAGTCCATGTTGTTGAGGGCTTTCCCCTCTTACATTGACCCTCCACTTTACCAAGTATGACATACTTCTCCAGAGAATGGTCACTTTTGACAACATTACTAAAGTAGGTGTGTGTTACACTGGGTTCTCTAGAGAAGCAAAACCAGTAAAGCTTATATAGAGAGACAGAGAGAAAGAGAAATTTATCTTAGGAAAATGGCTCACACACTTAATAGAAGCTGGCAAGTCCCAAGTTCTTGGATCAAACGTCAAGCTGGAGGGAGGCTTTTCCCGACTCACGCAGCTGCAGGGGCTGACGAGCTCAAGGTTGGCAGGCAGTATAGTGGCTGTTGACTCCAGTGAATGACAAATCCAAGATCTCCAGGCCAAATGGTGGATTGTTCACTCATGGACAGTTGTAGGCAGCACAACAGAATCCCAATCCACAGAAGAATGTCTCTTTTCCCAGGATGTCCATAGATATACTGGCAGCAGGCCACACCCCTAGGGAAATTCCCTTTCAACAGATTGGCTGCTCAAAACATACACATCTGATCCCATCATTCGAACAACCCACATCACAATTGCTTAAACCACACAGAATTGTGGTCCAGCCAAGTTGACACACAGCTCCATCTATCACAAGGTGAGACAAAGTCTGGCCATTCTTGCTTCCAAGGAGCATTTTGGCTGCACTCCCTCCAGGACAGATTTGTTCGTTCTTTTGGCAGTCCATGGTACTTTTCAGTATTCTTCGCCAACACCGCAACTCAAAAGCATATGAGGCGATTGAAAACACCATGGCTTGGGTGAGGCGTACCTGAGTCTTCAAGGAGACATCTTTGCACTTCAAAGAGCTCTTTTGCTGCAGATTTACCCAGTGTAATACGTCATCTGATGTCTTGACTACTGCTTCCATTGGTGTTGATTGTGGAACCAAGTAATAGGAGATCTTTAACAATTTCAATCTTTTCTCCATTTATTGTGATGCTCCTTATTGGTCCAGTTGTGAGGATTTTTGTTTTCTTTATGTTGAGGTGTGATCCACACTGCAGCCTGCAGCCTTCAACCTTCATCAGTAAGTGCTTGAAGTCATCCTCACTTTCAGCAAGCAGTTATGTCATCTGTGTATTGCAGGTTGTTAATGATCCTTCCTCAAATCCTGATGCCACATTTTTCTTCATATAGTCCAACTTCTCGGATTATTTGTTCAGGATACAGATTTTTTCACCTGAAAAGATACAACCCTGATACATTCCCTTCCTGATTTTAAACCATGCAGTGTCCCCTTTTCTGTTCTATGGTCTATGTACAGCCTCTGGTCTATGTACAGATTCCTGATGAGCACAATCAAGTGTTCTGGAATTCCCACTCTTCTCAGTGTTGTCCACAATTTGTCATGATCCATACAATCAAATGCTTCTGTGTAGTCAATAAAACACAAGTAAACATCTTTCTGGTATTCTTAGCTTTCAGCCAAGATCCATCTGACATCAGCTATGCTATTCCTTGCTCCATGTCCCCTTCTGCATCTAGCTTGCATCTCTGGAAGTTCTCTGTCAATATACTGCTGCAACTCTTCTTGAATTATCTTCAGCAACATTTTACTTGCATGTGATATTAATGATATTGTTTGATAATTTCCACATTCTGTGGGATCACCTTTCTTTGGAATGGGTACAAATATGGATCTCTTCTAGTCAGTTGGCCAGGTAGCTGTTTTCAAAATCTCTTGACATAGGTGAGTGAGTGCCTCCAGTGCGGCATCTGTTTTCTGAAACATCTCAGTGGGGTATTCCGTCAATTCCTGGAGCCTTGTTCTTTACCAGTTCATTCAGTGCAGGTTCAACTTCTTCCTTCAGTATCATTGGTTGTTGATCATATGCCACCTCCTGAAATGGATGAACATCAACCAATTCTTTTTGGCACAGTGACTCTGTGTATTCCTTCCATCTTCTTTTGATGTTTTCTGCATCATTCAATATTTTGGCCATAGAATCTTTCAGTATTGCAACTCTAGGCTTGAATTTTTTCTTCAGTTCTTTCAGCTTGAGAAATGCTGAGTGTGTTCTTTCCTTTTGGTTTTCTAACTCCAAGTCTTTGCACATTTCATTATAATAATTGACTTTGTCTTGACTCGAGCTGCTCTTTGAAATCTTCTGTTCAGCTCTTTTATCTTGTCATTTCTTCCATTTGCTTTAGCTACTCTCCATTCAAGGGCAAGTTTCAGAGTCTCTCCTGACATCTATTTTGGTCTTTTCTTCTTTCTCGTATTTCTAACAGTCTCTTGATTTCTTCATGGATGATGTTCTTGATGTCATCCCACAATTCCTCTGGTTTTCAGTCATTGGTATTCAGTGCATCAAATCTGTTCTTTAGATGGTCTCTAAATTCAGGAGGGATATTATCAAGGTCATATTTTGGCTCTGTGGACTTGTTTTAATTGTCTTCAGCTTCAACTTGAACATGCATATGAGTAGTTGATGGTCTGTTCCACAGTCAACCTCTGGCCTTATTTTGGCTGAAGATATTAAGCTTCTCTATCGCCTCTTGCCACAGATGTAGTCAGTCTGATTCCTATGTACTCCATCAGGCGAAGTCCATGTGTATGTATAGCCACCATTTGTGTTTTTGAAAAAAAGTATTTGCAGTGAATAAATATGGTCTTGCAAAATTCTCTCATGCGATCTCCAGCATCCTTTCTATCACCAAGGCCATATTTTCCAGCTACCAGTGATTCTTCTTTGTGTCCAACTGTTGCATTCCAATCACCAGTGATAATCAACACACCTTTACTGCATGTTTGGTCAATTTCAGACTGCAGAAGTTAGTAAGAATCTTTAATTTCCTCATCTTTGGCTTTGGTGTTTGGTGCATAGATTTGAACAACAGTAGTATTAACTGGTCTTTCTTGTAGGTGTATGGATATTATCCTGTCACTGACAGCATTGTACTTCAGGACAGATCTTGAAACATCCTTTGCAGTGCTGAATGCCACAGCATTCTTCTTCAAATTGTCATTCCCGGCATAGTAGATCATATGGTTGTCTGATTCAGAATGGCCAAAACCGGTCCATTTCATCTCACTGATACCTGGGATATCAATCTTTATGCGTTCTACTTCATTTTGACAACTTCCAGATTCATACTTGACAACTTCCCTAGATTCATACTTCATACACTCCATGTTCTGATTGTTAATGGACGTTTGCAGCTGTTTCTTCCCAGTTTGAGTCATGCCCATCAGCGTATGGAGGTCCTGAAAGCTTTTCTCCAGCCACGTCATTAAGGTTGGCTCTCCTCTGAGGGGGCAGCTCGGCTCTTTTCCATTTGTACTGAGTGCCTTCCCCTGAGGGCTCATCTTCTGGCGCTGTATCAGACAGTGTGTCAGGGCTAGTCATAAAGTTTTCCAGTAATGTATCGGACAGTGTTTCATTGCTATTCATAAGGTTTTCACTGGCCAGTTGTTTGAGAAGTGGATGGCCACTTCCTTCTTCTGAGTCTGTCCTAGTCTGGAAACTCTGCTGAAACCTGTCCACCATGGGTGACCCTGCTGGTGTTTGAAATACTGGTGGCATAGCCTCCAGCCTCACAGTGACATGCAGGCCACCACAGGACAACAGACTGACAGACGAATGGTGGGATAAGATAAATACCCACGTGCCATTGCCGAGGTGCAGAGCAAGAACACCCCGTTGTGCTTGGAGCTCCCTGTGCCCCCTCAGTGCCCTCTCCATTCCTCAGGGAGTAAAACCTTACACGGAGCCAGAGGGACGGGCCCTCTGCTGGTCTAGGCCGGGTTAAAGGAGCGCTGCCTCCTCCACCGTCTCGGGAACAGGAATGATCCCTGCCCTTCCAGCCTCCTCTCTTCCGCTGGCACAGCCCCTCTGGTGCCCTGCGTCTGCCCTGCTCAGTCACCCTCCGGATCCAAGTGCCGGGTGCACGTGGCCTGGAGCAGAGTGCTTGGCGAGAACTGACACAGCTGTTAGACCCTCGGGCTTCCTGCGGCTGCTGGCGGGCTCCGTGCCCTCTGCCCAGCATCCTGGCTTTGCAGACAGGAAATAGCCACAGGGCCTAAACCTTTCTGAAAGCCTTTCTGAAAGCTCATGGCCTGCTCTGCGCACTGCGTAGGAGTCATGTGGTGCCACAGGGCTCTGGCCTGCGTGCAGCCTGCACCTGTTCCAGGGGGACCTTGCTCTCCTAGTCCTGTGAGGACCTGTGTTGGGCATCTTACGGGTCTCCTCACAGCCACCCTCCTCTCTGTTCCCAGGGTTCCCTGCCCCGGCTCTGACGGGCCCTCTCACAGCGCCCTCCTGTCCTCTCTCTTCCCAGGACTCCCTGCTGCGGCTGCAGGATTCCCAGCAGTGCTTCGAATGCTCGGACATTGCCCTGAACGAAGCCGTCCAGCAGATGGTCAACGCTGGTGACACAGCGGCTAAGGAGGAGTGGGTGGCCACGGTGACGCAGCTGCTGCTGGGCATGGAGCAGGCGCTGTCTGCAGACGGTGGCAGCAGCCTCCTGAAGGAGTCTTCGTCTGGCCTGAGCCTTGTCAGGCTCACCAGCAACCTCATCCAGGTGACCCTCCACTCCTACCACCCGGTCTGTCCCCAGCTGTGCCTCTGACCCCCCACTGGCTTTGGTGCCTACACTGTTGCTTTGTGTCTCAGAGTGACCAGCTGACAACACACCTGACCCTGACCTGGCCTTTTTCATGTAGCAGAGCTGGCTCTGGCCCCAGACAGGAGCATCCACAGGGCTGTTGTCCGATTCTGACTCTCAGTGGGCCATGTGGACAGTCGACCTGCCCCAGGGCATCCTAGGTTGTAACCATTCGAGACCCAGATCGCCGGGTCTTCTCCCGCAGAGCCGCTGGGTGGGTTCCAGCTGCCAGCCTTTTTAGGTTAGTAGTTGAACGATTCACCCGTTGACCATCAGGGCTCCTTTCTGGGGGCATAGGGTTAGGACATCCAGCATAGAAGTTTGGGGAACATGGTTCAGTCCCCTGTGCTGTGTGCCACAGGATGCAAGAGTCCTCGTTCCAGGGAGGAGTCTCCCAGAGCAGGAGGCCCTGCCCTGCTGCGCGGTGAGCTCCCCGCCAGGCCCTCGCCCTATTATTGTCCTGGCATGCAGTGTCCATGTTGACAAAGATGGCTCTTCTCACTGGGCAGCGTCACAGCGTCCCACGGGCCAGGCAGGCCTGCGCAGAGAACGAGGGTCTCCCCAAGCCCTGCTCGGCCCCCAGCAAGTCCCGGCGAGCCTCGCCTTCCGCAGCTCCAGCCTCGGTTGCTGCTCCGTCATCACCCACCTTCCCCCTGGCACCGCAGCTTCCTGGCTGGGCCTGTGGCCACACGTGCTGTGCAGTACTTCCTACCTCAGTCTCCCCTCCCATCAGCCGCTGCCAAGGCCTGTGTGCAGAGCAGGGTGTGAGTCGGCTCAGCTCTGGCTTACAGCCCCGCCACAGTCCTGCCTAGGGGGTGCCTTCCTCTCCCTCTCCCTCCGCTTCCTTCCTGCTGCAGTTCCTGCTGTGACCGTCCTGAGCAGGCCTCTGTCCCCGCCCTGCCCTCTCTGGTGGCGGCACCCCACACCCACTCACTTGGAAGGTGTCTCTCGGGCTCATCTGCTCGTCTGCCCTCCTTTGAGACGCCCCTGCAGCCAGTTAGCATTAGTCCCAGCAGCATGCCAACCTTGAGCTCTCAGGCCCCTGCTGCACGTGCCTCAGGCAGGGTGGGATCCAGCGGCCTGTCAGTATCTTGGCTGCTGCTCCATGCCCCACAGCCACGGGGCAGCTGTGAGCATGTGTGGCCAGGCAGCCAGCAGGTCCTGGCTCTTCATCCTAGCCTGCCGTGACCTCTGTGCCCCCTCCCTGCCACAGGTCACTGACTGCAGCGTGACCCCTGTGCCCGTGTCCACCCCAGGTCACTGGCCAACTGTAGCGTGATCCCCTCTCCCTCAGGTCACTGACCGCAGTGTGACCCCTACCCCTCAGGTCATCGTCTGCAGTGGGACCCCCC